TTTGTTCACCACGTGGTCACATATTGATATGAAACAAGATTCTGCAAAACGTCTCTGAATGGTGTTCCGTTCATGGTAGAGAATACTGGCATTATAAAAGTTAAAGGAGTGTTTGAAATTTTTTATGTGTTCTGTTATCATAGTTTGGTTTTGGTTGGGGTTTTTCGAATTATTGTCGTGTTGTTTGAGTCTTTTTATTAAATTTTGTCCGGTTTCACCTATGTAAGTAGAAGGGCAATCATTGCAATTATTTTGTAGACAATGTTGGAAGTACGTTCTATACTAGTGGGAGATTTCAGGTTTGTGTAGAGAGGGATTTAAGAGTTAGATCTATGTTGCAGGTTAGTCTGATGTCTACCTTATGAAAAAGTTTTTTCCACACTGGAAAAAGTTCTTTTACGTAGGTAAACAAACGTTGCCTATATAGTTATTGTCTTTAGAATTTTTTTCTGGGGAAAAAGAAGAATGCATACTGTTGAGGTTTTAAGTCTGTTGGAGGTGACGGAGTTGATGAGGTGCGGTGGATATGAGTTGTTAATTAAAGTTGTGCGGATGAGGGATAAGTTAGAGGGCCAAAATTGTTTGTCTGAGAGTAGGATGGCATGGTCGACTAAATTAATAATAGTGCCTATCTTCATGCTAGAAGGGTGGTAAGAATGATAATTTAAATACCTACCCGACCAAGTAGGTTTTTGGAACCAATTGGTGATAATTCGATTGTCTGCGGTTTTTATAATTTTTACGTCTAAAAAGCTGATAGAATTTTCTTGTTCTTTTTCAAACGTAAAGGAGAGATGCTCATTAAATGAGTTAAAACTATGAAGTAAGAGTTCGAAATTTTTAACAGGAACACAAGTAAGGATGTCATCAACATATCTGTAATAAAAATGAAGGTCTAGATTGTAGGAATTAAAAACTTTCAACTAAAGTGTTGTAAAGCAATTTCTGCGAGTGAAGGGGAAATAGGAGAACCCATAGGTGTGCCAAATATTTGAAGGTAAAAATGGTCGTTGAATTCGAAATAAGTATTCGAAACTATGAATTTTATGGACTCGAGAAACCAATGCAGTGATAATGTTGTATGACAAGAGATTTCGTCCCATCTAGCAGTGATGGCATCTAAAATTAATTGTAGGGGGACGTTTGTGAATAGGGATACTACGTCAAGACTAACCAATAAGGAGTTATCAGGAATAACGGAATCGCGGAGATTGTTGACAAGTTCAAAGGAGTTTTTTGTAAAGAAACGAGACTTGACTGTGACTGAAGAGAGTATGTTGCTAAGGTATTTGGAGAATTTTGAAAGAGGTGAGTTCAGGTCAGCCACGATAGGTCTGAGAGGAACGTTGTGTTTATGTATTTTAGGAAGTCCGTAGAGTTTGGGGTTGTAAGGGTGAAGGTTTTTAATTGTCAGTGAGATTTGTGGAGTAATTTGTTTGTTAGAGACTAAGTTGTTTACAAATTTGTGAAAAGTACGGTTAATTCGGTCAGTGGGATCGGAGTTAATAGGAGAATATGTTTTTGTGTCTGAATTAATTCGGAGACTTTTTCTAGGTACGTGGTTTTTTCCAAAATGACTGTGATATTCCCCTTGTCGGCCCTCGTAATTAAAATGTTAGGGTTTTCTTTAAAAAAAAGTTTGCAAGCTTTAATGTCTCTAAGGATGTCAATATTGTCGATTTTTTTTGTTAAAAGATTTAATAAACGAGAGAAAATTTTTACAAAAAGCTGAACGGGTATTAGTTTTAATTTCGGGATTTTTTATATTCTGTAAGCTTGACTCTAATCTGCTGAGTACTTTGATAAAATTAAAGTTGTGACAGTTGTTAGGAATAGCAAAATTTGGGCCTAGTGCAAAAATATAGAGTAGTCTATCAGGTATATGGATATTAGATAGATTTTTTAGCCATTTATTGGTAAGAGATTCGTTCAGGATGATTTTTGACGAATTCATTTTTGATTCGTGTAATTTATTGAATTTTTTAATATATGAGGTTTTGGATTTGTTGTAGTTTTTCTTTTTAATACGAATGGATTCAAATTCAGAGAAGCTCTCCAGGATCTCGGTTTCAACAGAATACGATAACCAAGAATAGATTTTATCAATAGCACGTCTCAGGTTATTGGTGTGACAAATGCAATTTTTGATTTCTAGTGAGAGAATATGTAAACTAAGTTTAGAAAACTTGTTGTTAAGAGAATTGTTCAGATGAGAAAATTTTTAAAATTTAGGCGATAAAAATTAGGTATGATACCTTCTTTCCTGCATCTGATAAGAAAGATCTGTTTATTGATATTGGTAGAAAGTTTGAAGTTTAGTTTAGCTAATACCTTAAATTCTGAAAGATGTAAGAACCATAATGTTTATTGATGAAATTATAAAGGAAGGATTAGGGAGGATGTCATTGGTGATACAATTCTCTTGTATAAAATTTTTTTTATTAATAGCCTGTGTGGGTTTCATAATGCTCGTTAAAGGAAAAGAGTAGCTAAAAAAAAAAATAAATTTAAAGAAAGTAAAAAATTGGTGACAGAATAACAAGCAAGTGGTATGAATGTTTAGAGCGTACAAAGTAGAACAATTTAAGTTAAAACTAACAATAACTGTGAACATACAAACAATTGATAAAAATAAAGATGAAAAAATGGCCTAACTTAAAAATAAATAAAAAACAAAAACTTAAATATAAAAACGCGGCTGTACAGTAGCCAAAATTAGGATGCTAAATATTCATAAGAAACAATAACGATGAATATATATAGTATAAGGGAGATAAGAGTCTTGATTTGATAGTAGTTGCGTCTTGAGAAGATGAGAAGGGGTCTTGTTGTTGAATGAGTAATCCCGTTAACAGAGAAAAAGTGTAGAAAAATCCTATTTCCAGCCCAGGATGTTATATGATTTAGTAGTTAATTTTGATGTTGAAATATAGAGTGAGTTCTTGAGGCGATACATCAAACAAAGAAAGCCAAAGATTTATAAAATAATCTTTATTTCCAAAACGTTTCGACATTCATTTAATGTCATCATCAGTGGATCTAAAAACAGTATGAAATTAGCATATCTAGGTAATTATAATATATGTGGATTGGTAAAGTAACTATACAATAAGA